CACTCTCATTGGTTCAAGCTCCGTGTTCCTATTTAGGGTTGCCAAATGGGCCCGGGGGGGCGGGGAATCCCCCGCTTGGGAGGCCTGATTTCTGCGGCGGCGGAATTGGGCCCTGGGGGGAACTCCGCCCCCGAAGCTGCGTCACCAGAGGTGACGTCACCAGAGGTGACGCAGCCACGTCACTCACATTGGGGGCGTGGCCCAGATCATTGGGGGGAAAACCATATGTTCCCCCCCCCGACGAGCTCAGCCACGCCCGCAACGTCTGACGTCGCTTCTGGTGACATCGCAGCGACGCACGCACGCACACACACCGAGCCTGCTCCCGGACGGGACGGAGCCTCCCCCGCCGGTACGTTTAAAAGACTTGGCAACCCTAGTATGATATGAGCACCTGCATGTTCTATTAGAGTATGATACTCTATCATATCTGCCCTCCAAAACTGCCAAGGGAAGAACGTTCAGTCTTGCCATAGTAAAAGCTCTTCTTAGTTTTTGGACTGTCAATTGATAAAAATATTTTGGCAGTGGCATCGGGAGGGCAGTTCCCAAATGAAATGTCGAACATGCCCTACGCGCCCAATTAGACGTACTTGTAACATCCAGTTTCCTTACAGATTTTTAGATTTGTCTTCTAATGTCTTTAGTTTCTGTATTTTTAACCATATCCTTATTTATTCCTAGGCATTTCGTGTTATTTTCCAGTAGTTGATCCCACTGGCTGTAATGTGTATCTGCCGGGAGAAGCCCAAGTAGAGTAGGTCCCCCCTCAGATTTAAAAACCTTTACTTTAAAGACAAATGCTTTAACCCAAGCCCTGGCTTCCATCAATAATTCGCCTAGTTCTGCCCAAGACACATCTAGGAGTAGCCAATAAGCATCGGAAAAAGTCGTACTGTCAGAAGCGGCCTGAATCAATTTCCACATCATACAGGAATTGATTTAGAACCTTAGCATTAAATACCTTGAAGGCCGAGGGGACAAATTGGCCTCCTGATTAGTAGAAGTATTTTACAGTTGTCTGTCCTGCTCTCCAAGCTGTGTTCCTTGCTATATCCAAGTGTGTTCTCCATGTAAGAGATGTGTCAAAGTGGATTCCCAGATATTTAAATTGATTGACCCGTTCCATAGGTTGGCCTGCTATATCCCATTTGTAGATTTTCCCCTTTTTCCTTTTGGATTTTGCCACATTGATGGACAAGCCCTCATGGTAATAGTAAAGCTCGAATTTTTTTATCAGCTTGTGGAGGCCCACTATTGATCTAGGTCAGGGGTGTCAAACATGCGGCCCGGGGGCTGGATCAGGCCGCCAGAGGGTTTCTGTCAGGCCCGCAGTGGAACTGGCTGTCTTCTGCTGCTGCTTCCAGTTCTGCTGCTGCTGCGTCATCATAGGTTTACAGCTTACAGATACACACCTGAACAGCATACTCAGGATTGCAGCAGCACAGACATTTTGATGCAATAATTCAGAGCAAGAGGTGTCAGTTATCAGACACTGTTAAATAAACAAAATATTGCGGAAGTGTGGTGACCAGAACTGTAACACAGTACTCCAAATGAGGACGTACCATCGATTTATACAGGGCCATGGTGTTTAGTCATGCCGGCCACATGACCACGGAAACGTCTTCGGACAGCGCTGGCTCTTCGGCTTTGAAACGGAGATGAGCACCACAACCCTAGAGTCGGACTCGACTGGCTTTCGAGCAAGGGAACCTTTACCTTTAAAGAAGGTTAAAGATCAGTAAAAGAAGCTGGTTTTTCCCCTGCTGCTGCAGTGCGGAATTATGGTAGAAGCTGTACTCCAAAGTAGCACTGATGGTTGTGAGCATACAACGTGGGGCGGGGGGCACTTTTTGCCGGTGTCACTAAAGCGAAGCACAGCAGTGGGGCCCCTTGCTTGTCGCTGCCCCGGGCTTTGTCCCCATGCTCAGTCTGTGGGTTATAACTGAGTTCTGATTGCTCTAAACGGTAGACATTCCGTGTGATGCTGGCCTTTTTTTTAAACGTTCTAGTTGCAAAGCAGTCTGGACAAAAAGAAGAGGAAGAAAGAGAAGAAAAAGAAGCACAAGAAGCACAGACACCAGAGTCTCAGCAGCAGCGAAGATGAACACAGTAAAGCCAAGTAGGTCTCTCTGCACCAGAAAACAAAACATTCCTTCGTTCTCACGCTTTTGCAGAGGCATCCCAAAGTCTCGTTTTGCCAGCAGTTACACATGTCTTCTTTCTTGAAGGAGAAATGGAAAGAATAACTTCGTTTTAAATATAGATTCAGGTGGGCAGCCCTGTTGGTCTGAAGCGGCAGGACAAAGTTTGAGTCCAGTTGGGCACCTCTGAGGCCAGCAGTGTTTTATTCAAGGTGTAAGCTTTTGTGTGTGCACACATTTCCTCAGATACACTGAAATGGAAGTTGCCAGTCCATACATATAACAACAACAACAACAATAATAATAAATATTTCAATTTATTAATCGCTCAGTCCTGCAGAGCTGCCGGCTCTGAGCGATTTACAGTGACTCATTCACGAGGGACTAACAATGATTCATGGGGTAAGGGAGGACAACATATATAAATCTTTAAATCGCACACATTCGCAGGCGACGGGGATTTTTTGTTGTTGTTCAGCTGTAAACTAGACATGTTCCAGATGGCATTCGGCTTGGCTTGATGATGTCAGCTTTCTCCAGGGGATATAGGTAGGGGAACAGCAGCAAATTAGAATACAGCCCAATAAAGTTGTTTGACAGATGCAAGGACCAAACTGGAATAACATTGTTGAGGAATGGATAGCATAGCGATGGTGGTACCAACACCCACCAACTACAGAGCCGCACGTTCTTACCCTGCAGTATGCTTGAAATTTTGGCAATTGAAATGCACAGTTTAAAATTGTAAAAACCAAGTTATGTTATAAAACCTAGAGAGTGCAGAATTAACTTAATATGTATCCGCTTGCATAAAACGCAATCCAAATATGGCAGTAACAATAAACACAATATATGAAACACCAGAAGAGGCCTGGATAAAAAGAAGTGTCTTTACCTGGTGCCAGAAGGTCAGTAGATTCCACACTAACGCAATCCAAATATGGCAGTAACAATAATAAACACAATATGTGAAACACCAGAAGAGGACTGGATAAAAAGAAGTGTCTTTTCCTGGTGCCAGAAGATCAGTAGATTCCACACGAGGCTGATGGGTGTCGGCAGGGCTTTTTTGGTAGAAAAGCCCAGCAGGAACTCATTAGCATAATAGGCCACACCCAACAGCAGAAACCTATTAACATATTAGGCCACACCCCTGACAGCACAGCTTTTTAGCATAATAGGCCACATTTAAATGCCGCCCCGATCCTTCCAGGGCCCCCTGGCCTGCCCGCCTCGGAGTTGTTGGAAGGGGGGGGGTGATCTCCAGGGGGTTCCCTCTGTAGCCACACATGCAGAGGTTTTGGCTGTAGTGGGCGTGGCCAACTCTGAAGCCAGCCGGAACTCCGTTCCTGCCCAAAAATAGCCCTGGGTGTCGGGATGAGATGAAGCACTGCCGGGAGCAACGTTGTCTCCTGTGCAGCTGCCCTCCTTGCCTCCGAAGGGTGAGAATTCCTATCGCAGGGCTCATCTGAAGGCGGCCTCAGCTGACAGGCAGGCTGGTGGTTGGGGGAGCTCCGAGAAGGCACAGGAGCTCTCCGGTTGACGGACAGGCAGATTGGGACTGATAACCGTTTGTTTTGGTTTGCTTCAGGTCCCGCGAGAAAACTGACAGTCTGCCATCAGAGTCCCTTCATCCCAAAATATCAGGCTACGGTTTGCAGGTATGCGAAGTTGTTCATGTGCTACCCATTGAGGTATTGTTTTACAGGGAAGGAGTTAAGGCAGTTAAGGGGCAAACTCCACAGAAACCAAGCACAGAAATGCGAAAAGTCTCTCTGGCAGGCTGGCTTTTGTGGACAGCACCATGCCTTTGCAGGCTTTAGCCCTCTCGGCAGTCACATCTTTAGCGTTCCCCCCTCATGTAGGTTCGTGGCGATGGCCATGAGAGGACGTTTTCCCACAAGCCCTCCAAAAGTCCCAGGTCAGAGAGCCGGTGCCTGTCGCCACAGAAGTACAGTGGCAAGATGAGCTCGTCTGAGGCAGAGTACAGAAGGCCGAGATCACCTCTGGGGAACACTAAAGAGTAAGCCAGGGTAGAGCACCCGTTTCTGTTCCTCTTGACTGGAAGCTCCGTTGTGGTTGCTATGGAGTCCAGGCTTGCGTGGGTGGAAAGATGCAGTGAGAGTAGTTCAGCGGTGGAACGAGCTGCCTGGGGAGGTGCTGAGCATGGGCCGAGTGTGCTGCAAGGTGGGTGGAGGGCAGAGTGTGTGTGGGGGGGTTTTAGAGTCAGCAGCCAAAGGCTCATCTGAACTGAGAACTTCTTCACTTGGAGGAATCAATCTCCTTCCTGAATTGCAGGCACAACAGCAAGGCCAGAACTGGCGGCAAGACTCCTCCTCCTAAGAAAGAAGGCTACAGGAGACAGCAGGCCTCTGGGTACACCAGGTGTGTTACAAGCAAAAATGGGAACTCTCAGATGGAGGAGGCTGGGGAGGAGGGAAAGACGGTCAAAGTCTCACCTTGGCGTCTGCGGTTACTGCAGACGCTCACCACACTCAAAAGCCTTTTTTCCTCAAATGGAGACTTGCTCTTATTCATTTTAAGTACAGACTCCCCCCCCCCCCCCCCGCTTTTAATATCTTCTTCCCCCAGTTAAGACACTGCGATCAATGTTCCCTCTAAGCTGTGGAGTCTTGTGAGCAAAAATTCTACTTTGTGAGCTCCTGGCATTAAAGTTGTGAGCGAGCCATTTGGCTGCTGCATAAATTAGTTTGCTCTGGAGCCCTCCTTCCTGAGCTAAGACGAAAATGTGTGAGCCGGAGGCTAAAAAACTGTGAGCTAGCTCACACTCACTCAGCTTAGAGGGAGCACTGACTGCGATGCTGCCAGTTGAAATTCTCAAAGTCCTTATTTGCCCCCATCAAGGAGACTGCCCAGTCTGCGTTCCCAGGGTGCCCAAGTGGTCTGGCGTAGCGATAACCCTTAGTTAAAGTAATTCGGCTCCTGTGTTTGGTCGAAGGGAGATCTAAATCACAAGAACAAATGAGCATCACCCTCTGCACCAGCTTAATTTCCAGCGCGTTCTTATAGATGTGCATCAGGCGACAGGCAGAGCGCCAAGCATGCTGCCAGTTAAGCCGGTGCAGAGCGTGATGTTTATATATTTATGTTCCTCTGAACAAAGTGTTTCAGGCTCCTGGTAGGCTTCAGTTCTGACTCAGGTTGGGGGGGGCAGTATTAATATTTCAGTAGTACTCAGGGGTCATTTCATAGAAAAAGAGGTGCAGGAGCTCATTAGCATAACATTAGCATAACTTATCTGCATATGCCATACCCCCTGACATCACCGGAAGTGTGTCAGAAGGCAACACCCACCGCTCAGGCTCCACTGGACTGTTTTGGATTGCTAGCTGGGGGGGGTGCGCACATCTGCCCTCACTCCTGTGCGCTCCTGCTGGAAATGACCCCTGGTAGTACTTAATTTTGGCGCAGTCACTTCTTGGCTGTCTTCCCGATTCCCTTCTCACAAAAATCCCCGTCACGGTTGCAGTCCCCATTCCGGTGAGAAAGGACTTGCTCAGAGTCCCGCAGTGAACAAGTACAGATTTCATTGGTGCCCAGCTCCTGTTCTTAAAGGCAACTGAAACCTCTTCTGCATTTTGCTGCAAGCAGAAACCTCTCGGCCGAAGAGCTGGAGTGGAAGCGGCAGGAAATGATGGTGAATGCCAAGTGGCGGGAAGAGGAGAGAGCAAACACTGTGAAGAAGCATCGGAAAGAAGAAGCGCGGGAGCGAGAGCGGGAGAAGCTGGGCAAGCACGACGGGAAGTTCATACAGTAGGTGTCACACCAGCGGGTGCCCCTTCCATAGCCAAGCTGGTGGGCTCGGCAGTATCCCAGCAGGTCTGCCGTCTTCCCCTCCTGGGCCGAGTATCAGAACAGTATGGAGAAGGGGAGGGGGGATGTCGCTGTGATCTTGCTGCTCCTCCACATCATTGTGTTGAAGTCGGGCAGTCCGGGCGGTCTGTGGTGTGGAGGCGGGAGGGGCAGGGGGGGTAGAGCGGGAGAAGCTGGGCAAGCACGACGGGAAGTTCATACAGTAGGTGTCACACCAGTGGGCGTCCCTTCCGCAGCCAAGCTAGCGGGCCCGGCAGTGTCCCAGCAGGTTTGCCGTCTTCCCCTCCTGGGCCGAGTATCAGAACAGTATGGAGAAGGGGAGGGGTGATGTCGCTGTGACCTTGCTGCTCCTCCACATCACTGTGTTGAAGCCGGGCAGTCCGGGCGGTCTGGGGTGTGGAGGCGGAATGGGCAGGGGGGGCTCCAGACGGGCAAGTCGGCTCCAGTGTGGCTCCCGCTTCCAGTTTTTCAGGTGTCATTTCCTGGCTAATTTCCAGGCAAGGAAATGAAAGGGCCGAAGCCAAAACCTTGCTCAGGTCTCGGCTTCTCTTCCGGTCACCCTCCCTCGGGTGAGGAGTGGAGTCCTGCCAAGAGGCCGTCGAGTCAGGCTTTGCCTCTGCCACTCAGAGAAAAGGCTGGCTGGGGAGAGGAGAGATTGGATTCATACCCCATGGCCCTTCATTACCCAAAGGAGTCTCAGAGTGGCTTACAAACTCCTTTCCCTTCCCCTCCCCACAACAGACACCCTGTGAGGTGGGTGGGGCTGAGAGAGCTCTTGACAGAAACTGCTCTTTTCCGAGAACAGCTCATATCAGAACTACGGCTTGCCCAAGGCCATCCAGCCAGGGGCAAGTGGAGGAGTGGGGAATCAAACCCGGTTCTCCCAGATTAGAATAATAAGAAGAAATTGGATTCATACCCCATGGCCCTTCACTACCCGAAGGAGTCTCAGAGCAGCTTACAACCTCCTTTCCCTTCCCCTCCCCACCACAGACACCCTGTGAGGCGGGTGGGGCTGAGAGAGCTCTTGACAGAAACTGCTCTTTTTCAAGGACAGCTCTTGTCAGAACTACGGCTTGCCCAAGGCCATCCAGCCAGGTGCAAGTGGAGGAGTGGGGAATCAGACCCAGTTCTCCCA